TCACCGCAGTTTGAACTGTTAATCGTGAGGATTGATTCACTCACCGGTGATTCGATATGCCGTCTACGCGTAACCGTCTGATGCAGTTTCGCATAATCCTTCTAGCAATACGGCTTACTTTTTAAAAAGTAACACTTGACCAGAATGTAACCTGCCGTTATATGATGTTATTGGCCAAAAACAGCTCAATAAATGTTTTCGAAGTATTTTCACTTTTCGCATCGAGGTTTTTTTAAAATTTCAAACGGAGTGATCGATAAAGGGCTTTTACATTTACGTATTTAAGCTGTCGATTAGTTGTGCCTACCTTTTCTAGAAATTTTCTTGGGTCCTGGGTTCAGCCCATTTAACTCGCTTACCGGTTTTTGCAGTTGACTCGATAACAAATGAGTTATTGATTTAGGTCTGTTAGGGGACCTTCAGTAACCACGTAAGGGTGGTCGTTGTCTACATAAGCAGGTCTTTGTCTGCCAATACTAATACTTTTTATGGCATTGCCACTCTAGACCTGTAAGTGCTTCGAATATCTTGCAGTCAATTTGGAAGATCCTTCGGGTATGAAATGAAAGGTGGTTGTGATTTATTATATCTCACCCATATATGAGGGATGGAATTCAATCCCTTATGTAGATGCGTGAACTTAACTATTCTCGTGATGGAATCGACTTCAAGTTAATCATTTGTATTTAGAATATATTCACACATATATATGTGATATTGGAATTATTCAACAAAACATTTGCAGCTAACTACCTCAAGCCCTCACTTCATTTACTCTATATACACCCTGCTACTAATATGTAACAAACTCCATCTCCGCTCACACCAAACCAAATTAGTACTGTTCAGTTCACTTACGCTAACATTAACCAAACCATAAGAACCCTCAAAAGCTCAAAAGGTTTTGGTGCTGACGGTATATCATCCTATTTCTATAAATATGGTGGCACTTACATTCCTCTACTGCTGCCTAAAATATTCACTATGTCCTTATAAACTCAAACTTACCCTGAAATATGGAAAACAACATTCATTATGCCTAAACACAAATCGGGCCCGAAAACAGAAGTCGGTAACTACAGGTCGATCAATAGCACACCTATCGCATCTAGAATTATGGAGGGACTAGCTAAAGATAACTCAATCAAGCATATGCTTAGCTGCAATATTAAAAGTCCGAACCAACATGGATTCCTAAAATCCAGATCTTGTTTTACATGCCACCTAAACTTCTTTAATTTTTTGACCAGCACTCGTGACAGACGGCAACTAGTACTTGCCATCTGCTTTGACATTTCTAAGGCACTTGACCGGGTTGACCATTCACTACTAATACATAAGCTGAAATCCTTAGGAATACGTGACCCGTTATAAGGATGGCTTAAATCACTCCTCAACAACAGGTACCAAATAGTTTAACTCGGGTCCGTAACTTCCAAACGTAGCCCAATCACTTCTGGTGTAGTACAGGGTAGTGCCATTAAACCCCTCTTATTTACACTGTATATCAATGACATACGCGCCTGCTTCTCATACGGGAAACCATTCATCTTTGCAGATGACCTGAAAGTAGCTTATACATTCCAATGTGATGACCTAGGGTACTTCGAGAATGTAGTGCAGAAAGAATTGGATAAAGTGACGGCTCGGTCGTCTTTATGGAATCTACAATTTAACTTGGACAAATGGGGCTGGATCTGCTTCGGCGCACCCTCAATTGACTTGAAATTAACGCTTCAATTTGCTAACCTAATCAGAATTCGTTGACCTAGGCCTGAGTTACTCTAGTGACTTAAGATTCTCTGAGCAAGTGGCATCACAGACTCGAAAGTCGAGGATGCTCTTAGGACGCATAATCAGGGACTTTCACAACAATGAAGCCAAGCTAATTCTGTGCAAAACATGTGTTAGGCCACTACTAGAATACTGTCCATTTATTATAAGCAGCACTCGCACACGTGACAAGCTAAGGATGGAAAGTATCCAACGATAATTTACCTCAAAACTATTTTGCTGTGATTGTAAGAAAGACTACAGTCAATGTAGTTGAAGATCGAACGATCAATTCATGGTTGTTTGCTCAAAACCAACTTCCCCAATTTTCGCGGACGCATCAATACACCAGTCGTCGTCTCATCGGTCACTGTTCAGAAGGAAGTCAGGAGAAAACTGTCAGAAGTAATATTGTGATTTATTATTGTAATATTTGTTCATAGATCTTAGTTTTAAAGTTGGCTATATATTGGTGTTACAATAAGAATTCTCGAGTCGCCAATCGGTGTTTTGGATTTTGCGTCCGTTATTGCTAAACGTTTCTGAGAAACTTCAAGGAACAGCGTGAGTCTGAGCGTAGTAAGAGCTGGGCATTGATGATCTACGAGGCGTGGCTGACAGGGGATATTGCACTGGGGTTTGTATTACTAAACGTAGTTCTGTGGCCCATATGACTATAGTGTGGATAAGTAGACCAAAGCTCTTTTGTTGATTGGAACTGGTTAAGGAGACGCTGGATTTCAGTAGATCGCCAACTACGTAGAGTAAGTGGAAGTTCGTTCCATAATGCGATATACTGCATTTTGAAGAAACGTCAGGCAAAATCCAGGCCTTATTACGCTTGACCTCACGCTGCCCCCAGAGCCTTTCAGAAACGATGTGTAACAGCCAACGTGATAACACACAACACTGATTGGCGACTCAACAATCCTTTATACTTACGCCAATATGTAACCAAAAATAAGGTCATTATACACAAGGTCTAAGAACGAATGTTACAAAAATAAATCACAATAATATTTCTGACAGTTTTCTCCTGACTTCTTTCTGAACAGCGACCGATGAGACGACGACTGTCGCATTGATGCCTCCGCGAAAATTGGGGAAGTTGGTTTTGAGCAAACAAGCATGAATTGGTCGTTCAATCTTCAACTACATTGACACCCCCAATTTGAGGAAGCTCATTTGCCACGGCAACCATACCGCATCTATTCTGTGATGAAACCAACCGAATCCCTCCCACATGCCTTTACCTGAGGTTCAGTTATTCAGCTTATTATAGATCCTATCAATATTTCATCAGTCGTGTTTATAAACTCATAAGACTGTCTATAATTTTCCTGGACGTATAATCACAAATTAATTGTGATAGTTCTTCCATAATAAAAGCAAACTGGTACCTTGTAATGTCTGAAGCATGCCATATGAAAAGTGGACAGGAAAACCTAGCAATAACAAACTCAGCCAACCAACCAATTCCCCCAAGTTCACTCGACCTACCCTTATCCGTAATCGTACCACTATCCACTATAATTGTTGCGTGCGTTGTCTGACTAAACTGCCGTACACATATATTCTAGTATTTCTTCGTTCTTATTCATGTGCGCAGACGTTGTGGCTACTCGATGCCCACAACGTAAATCAAAAGGCACTTGCGAAGAGTACGAATGTGTATTATAGCAGTAGTCAAATTCGAAATTGTGTCAAGGTAATATTCAACAGTAAATTGACAAATATTTGCGAAGTACATATAAAATCGGTCTGCATACACGTATAATACAAGTATACAAATTAGATTAAAAGCATTTTTACAGTTGGTATAGGGGTACTACATAATTCCCCCACCAGAACACTAAAATATAAAAAAATACATTTAAGTGTTCGAAAATAACATGCGTCAGCGTAATACGTAGCAGCGATAGTACACAGAAGGCGATTTATTAAGCTGAAAAATGAGCAGTTTAATGCGGTTAATAACGTCGATAATAAATGCGATAATCTAGGGAAAGTGGAATTACTAATCGTAATAGAATATATAAGGAACGATAAAATTATCCGGGTATCTGTAGTCGGTAGACGAAAACGATACGTGAATAATATACGAGATGTGATTAAATGTAATAATATAGGAAATTGTCAGTCAATCACGTCTCATAAACCATTAATGCCCAGCTCTCGCTACGCTCGGGCCCACGTTGTTCTTCGAAGATAGCAGAAACGCTTAGTTATAACGGACGAAAAAACCAAAACACCGATCTGCCGTTTGATATTTCTGTATTGTTACACCAACATATAAAAGGAATAAGCGAACTAAGTAAACTAAGGTCTGTAAACAAATATTACAATAATAAATCATTGTATTACTTCTGATGATATTTTACTCTTCTTTCTGAACAGCGACCGATGAGACGATGACTGTCGTATTGATGCCTCCGCGAAAATTGGGGAAGTTGATTTTGAGCAAACAACGAAGAATTGATCGTTCAATCTTCAACTTCATTGACACTCCCCGGCAAAAAAGGGATCCAACCCATTTTTCCTTCACGACCAATGCACGTTGACTTGGATGCCATTGCGAGAACCTGGGTCACACGGACAGAGCTGAAATGGAAAACAAACAGAAAAGCCAACACACCACAAGCATACCCACAGCACAATCTCACACATCGATGACGACCTGCGCCTCCAGACAGAGACCTCCTCTTGACATCTTCCAACACAATCGCCACTTACTAGAATGACTCTTGCAGAATGCAACGTGACCATAGCACCACCTCACGATACTCTACGCACATCCTCTTATCTACTCACTACCAATTACCACTGCAATCGCTTGTCACTCATTCTGCCTCAGTTCTAGTAACGGTGACGGATGCGAGCCTCAGTCGCTTACACTCTTTCTCCCCGGCGTGTGGGACCGCAGCTAACAATTATCTTCGTGTGCATGTCGTTCTCACCAATAGCCTCCCCGGCGTGTACGACACATCTGCTGTCCTTAGCATCAACCAATTCATTCATGGATGTAGAAGACTAGAATCAACTTCAGAAGTAATCACGACGAAAACTTTAACAAAATTACGCAATAACAACAAGATACGAAAACAACAAGTAAACACAATGAATCCAAAATACACCAATTGATATGACACACCACACGTATATTCAAATAGTAAAAACAACCTCGCCGATCATGTCTTGGTGGAATTCCTTTGAAGAATTGCAGGACTTACACCAGTACGCCTACAAACCTTCACAGGTTGACGATTGTAAGTTGTGGAATGTCCGGACACAAACAAGATTAACCAACAATTACATCAATTGGAACTCACACAATTATTTAACACAAACATATGTACAATGACTACATCAAATGTTGTGGATTCTGACACGACAAACTACCCTTGAAGAACTGTAGGACTTACAGCAGTACGCCTACATTCCTTCTCAGGTTGATGATCCAAGTGGAAGTCGTCCGGACACAAACAGAATTACCAACAGATAGATGATAAATGATACCACTTCAGTATATACAATATGAACATATGTACAAAATCACACACCGAGCACATTGGACTGCTCATTGATGCGCTACCCTTTGAAGAATTGTAGGACTTACAGCAGTACGCCTACAACCCTTCTCAGGTTGACGCTCTAGGTTGGAAAATCGTTGCAGAGTTCATTTGCTGATTTCCTTCTATCGTCTATATACTCAAATCTGAACGGTAACACGCCCATGTCATTGTATCGTAGAATATAGATGACGAACAAACACACAGCATATCTCATCAACCAAGTGTAGAAACAGAGTAATTTACACCAAAGATAATAGCATTCAATTAGTAACTTGAAACTAGAAATGCCTTTATTCATGCAAGTCAATTTAACAATTACTCTCTCGTTTACACTTGGCTTATTCTCACTAAACTGAGCAATATCTTTCGTCTTTTCAAACGCACCAATACTATCATAGTCATTGCACAAGATACTTGAGTTGATGGGCGTCTGTTTCATTGTGGATGAAAACACCAACGATGACTGAGTGACACAAGGTGATGAACTTAGCGGTGGATCAGAAGCTGTTGTTCTTCGGCTTTCAGATAGTTGTCCAACTGCAAGATTACCACCACTGCTGTCTTTCACTACTAGTTCGGGTTTAGCACTATCATCTGATGATAGGTGGGCTACACGCTGATCAATTACACTGACTGTCTCACAAGTATGCACACCTTCTGGAACTGCATCTGCGTTCAATTCTACTTCACGTTGTAGTTGTACAGAACCTTTATTTAACTTAGCAGTAGTAGGCATATCCCTCATCTCATCATGATCAACCAAAGACAACTGTGAAGTATCATGATCATTATCACGAATATTCACTTTACCGTCAACTTCATCATTTTCAAACTCTTTAATAACAGAAGTAGACAATTTTGGTTCCTCCTCACAAATCATTAAAGGTTTTATATCTTCACTCTGACTAGTTATACTTTGTAAACTTGTAGGGTCAGAACTGCACTCTGAAGCAGTAACTCTATTCTGTGACACTCTATTCAACAACGGCTTACCAGTTGCAACTACAGACTTCTTCACAGCACCGTTATCGTCACACAATTCGGAGTCAGACCTGGAGTTTACATTTAGCTTATCACTGAACTTGCTCACTGGTTCACAGTTCACCTTTGTATGCACCTCTTGCACACGTGTAAAACAAAACCGTGTTTGTCTTGCATCTTGTAACTTATCTGTTGAGGATGTACTACGAAACCTGTTACACTCACTAGGTCTATATGCATTACTAGACATCATGGAGTCTTCTCGATATCCACCTCTCTGAGGCCTACTCGTCATCAATGATTGCGTTTTACCCTCAGACTGCTCTATTCTAGGGGTGAGATGTAATAGACTGGCGAACTTGCTCATAGATTGATTGACGCTAGTATTTACCAGTTTCAGGATATCATCAAATTTTGGCTCGATACCCTCATCCTCCATACGGGAGCTCATCTTCACCCACTTCCTTTGCAGTCGAGTAGGTAGACGTCTTGCTATTACTTCTAGGACAAAACTCGAGTTGAGGTCACTCATGCGATTCATCGAAATCATTCCATTCTTGTAAATTAGCAAATTATCTAAAAACTCAGTGAGTGCCTGGGAGTCATCCTGTAATTGACCACCATTACCCTTAACAGCCTCGAATAATTTCCCTGCAATCATCGAAGGTCTTCCAAACCTTTGACGTAATATGCTCATAGCCTCGTAGTAGCCCTCTTTTGGCTTCATAAACTTACAGCACTGTATAGCTCTTGCAGCATCTCCAGTGCAATATCTCATCAAATACATTAACTTCAATTCATCACTTAATAAAAAACTATTCAGCATGATCTCAAACTCCTTCACAAACTGTAAATAATCAGCCGGGTTTCCATCAAAACATCGTGGTTCAAATTTAGGGAGTTTGATGTTCCTATTATCCCTGAACGGCGAAACAGTAACATCAACCATATCATGCTTAACATCAGACACATCGTTACAATTAACAGACAAGTCACAATGACTTACTTTCCTGTTTGTATCCAAAACACTCTGTCCCTTCTTTGACCCAGGCATTGTTGAACTTGGCCAAATTCCAAAATGTTCCATATATTGCTTGTTCAAAGAGGACTTGACCGGCACCAGGAAAAATGAACGGCGACTATCCAAACTTTCACCAACTGTTTGAATCCGCCAGATCTGTTTCTATCATCAGAAACTGTCAGTCACGTCTCATAAACCGTTAATGCCCAGCTCTCGCTACGCTCGGGCCCACGCTGTTCTTCGAAGATAGCAGAAACGCTTAGTTATAACGGACGAAAAAACCAAAACACCGATCTGCCGTTTGATATTTCTGTATTGTTACACCAACATATAAAAGGAATAAGCGAACTAAGTAAACTAAGGTCTGTAAACAAATATTACAATAATAAATCATTGTATTACTTCTGATGATATTTTACTCTTCTTTCTGAACAGCGACCGATGAGACGATGACTGTCGTATTGATGCCTCCGCGAAAATTGGGGAAGTTGATTTTGAGCAAACAACGAAGAATTGATCGTTCAATCTTCAACTACATTGACAGAAATATCGATGTTAAAATAATAGTGACGTGATTTATGTATGAAAATATTAATCAGTTAAATGAGTAATCAAATGACAATTACGAATAAAGATAATAAAAATGAAAATTCGTAGTAAGTTATATTTCGATGACTTGCACGTAACGTTTAGGCCAATGGACTCGTCTACCAGATCGTGTTGTTTTCGCAGGCTTCTCTGTCGACGTTGAAGCTTGTGTGGATGTAGGCATTGGCACGTCGTTCAGCTGGTCCTTATTGTTGACTTCGAAATCGTCGAGGAACGCTGGTTTGACTCTGTCGATACTGATGGCTTCTGTTTTATTCAATCTTTCTATCGTGATAACTTTCGCGTTTCTGTTTAGAACTTTGAATGGGCCATCATAAGCGGGTTGAAGTGGTCGTTGTACACCTTCTCTCCTGACGAAGACGTGAGTACAATCTGTCAGTTGTGACGGGATGTATGACGCTCGTTCCTGCTGACGTGGAATTGATATCTTTAGCTCGTTCATGTGTCGTTTTAGCTGGTGCACGTAACCAGTCATATCGTGTGGAACTTCGTTACCCGGGGTGAAAAATTCTCCTGGTAATCGTAATGTTGTTCCATAGACTAGTTCGGAAACACAGCAGCCAATATCTTTCTTTATAGTAGCTCGTATACCAAGTAATACTAGTGGAAGTTTGGTTGACCAATCGTTTTGAGTCAAAGAAGCAGCGAGCGCAGCTTTGAGTTGTCGATGAAATCGTTCGACCATACCGTTGGAACTAGGATGATACGCTGTCGTTCGTATTCGTTTAATGCCTAGTAATTCAGTTAGTTGGTCAAAAAGTCGGCTTTCAAACTGGGCACCTCTGTCTGTAGTGATAATTGATGGGACACCAAAATTGGCTATCCAGTTTTCGACTAAAGCTTTAGCTACCGTTTCAGCTGAGACGTCGATTAATGGAACTGCTACTGGCCAACGAGTAAATCTGTCAATGCAGGTTAGAATATAGTTGAAACCATTGGAAGGAGGCAGTGGACCAACTATGTCTACATGTACATGGTCAAATCTAGAGTCGGGGTTAGGGAAGCGACCAAGTGGTGCTTTGGTGTGCCGGTTGATTTTGACTCTTTGACAAGACAAGCAATTTCGTGTCCACTTCTTAACGTCGCTGTTAATGTTTGGCCAGATAAATCTTTCTCTTAGTAGCTTGGTAGTAGCGCTAACACCAGGATGCGACAAGTTATGTAACTTCTCGAATACTGTATGTCTCATAGCTATTGGAACGAAAGGTCGATATTTACCCGTAGAGGTGTCGCAGATAACTTTTGTCGTGCCGAAAGGAATTGCCTCGAGGTTTAGAGATGTTGTTTTAGAAGACATGATCTTTTTGAGTTCGGCGTCATCTCGTTGTAAGTTTGAGAGATGTTCGTAGTCGATGTCTGGGCATACAATGTTATCAATGTGCATACGTGATAAAGCGTCTGCCACTTCATTGTTTTTACCCTTTATGTGTCGCAGATCGGAGGTGAACTGGGATATAAACTCGAGATGTCGTAGTTCACGTGGAGAGTAGTTATCCTGTTTTGCTGATAAGGCTTTCGTTAGAGCCTTGTGGTCTGTAAAGACAGTAAAAGGTGTACCTTCCAGCATATGTCGAAAGTGCTTGATTGCTAAATAAACAGCTAATAACTCTCTACCAAAGGTGCTATATCGACATTGAGTAGGATTCAGTCGTTTCGAAAAGAATGCAAGGGGTTGCCATTCGCCATGTACCTGCTGTTGTAAAACTGCCCCAATGGCGACATCTGAAGCATCTGTCATGAGAGACAGGGGGCGTCATTCTGGCGTCTGACTAAGAGCGTCTTGTCATTTAACGATTGTTTAACAGCTTCGAATGCTTTAACAGCTTCTGCAGGCAAATGGAATGAACGACTATGTCCACGTAAGCAGTCGGTCAACGGTTGCAAAACTCTAGCACAGTTCGGGATAAAACGCCGGTAAAAATTGACTAGACCCAAAAATCGCCGTAGTTTCTTGAAAGAATCTGGTAATGGATAGTCTTTGATAGCTTGTACATCGTCGGGGACTGGTCTAATTCCTTGATTGTCAATCAAGTGACCGAGGAATTTCAGTGATTTCTTACCAAATTCGCATTTATCTAAATTGATAGTCATGCCGTATTTGTGAAGTCTTTCGAACACCGTCTTCACATGTTTCACATGCTCGGTTTCGTCTGCACTTGCAATTAGTAAGTCGTCAATGTATGCGTAGACGAAGGGCAGGCCGCGGAGTACTTGGTCGATGAGACGTTGAAATGTCTGAGCGGCGTTCATCAGCCCGAAAGGCATGCGCACGAATTCGTATAAGCCGAATGGCGTGGTGATAGCAGTTTTTGGAACGTCATCCGGGTGGATGGGAATATGATGGTACGCTCTGACAAGGTCGATTTTGGAGAAAATTTTAACCTCTGGCAAGTTGCTGGCGAAATCGTGAATATGCGGTATGGGGTATCGGTCAGGTACCGTTTGCTTGTTTAAAGCTCGATAATCCCCGCATGGCCGTATCTCACCAGAAGACTTTTTGGGTACCATGTGCAGCGGTGAAGACCAAGAGCTGTTGGATGGTCGAATAATGCCGAGCTCTAACATTTTATCGAACTCTGTTTTTGCGATTTTAAGTCGATGTGGGTCAAGGCGTCGAGGACGTGCAAAAACTGGTGGTCCAGTGGTTTTAATGTGATGAACCACTTGATGCTTTAGTTCTGTTGCTCGGAAAGAGGGTTGTAGAAGGTCAGGGAACTGATTTACTAAGTCAGTATATGGAGATGCTGGTGTGCGTGTGACCATCAAGTTCAGCGATGATGCACGGCTAATCGTACCAGCGATGTACCTTTTATTGAGCGAGTCTATAAGCTTAGGGCTTACCGGATCAACTAGCAGTTTGTGTTGCTGTAGAAAATC